TTCCAGTCAATATTTGCGCAACAATTTCTCCCTTCAGACTGGCCCACCTCATTGACTCTGCCACAAAAGCCCAAGACAAGTGGGCTCGTCTACATCTCCAAACTTCAGTTGAATGACATGCATTAATGATTTAATTCTTGGTCGTTGTCATGGTGCCCGTTGCCCTGGGCCTTCGATTACGGGACTCGCACCTAACTTCTTTCGGTAAATCATATATATTTCATTTGAAATTGAGAAAGATTAAGATGTTAAAAAATTATTATGTAAATTATTGTAAATTTTTGTATTGGTGAATGCCTCACTTTCACATTCACTTTCTTTCATATTATAACTCTTTCTTATTAAAGGATATTCAAGAGTTCATTAAAGTGTTATTTATTTTCTCATTTAATCTTATTTAATAATTAATGTAACTCTCACATATTTTTTTAACTTATCTATAGATTTATAAGTTAGTATGTTTTGTATATAGAAGAGTATATGGTGAAATAAAAAATTCTCACTCTTATTTGTTATTTTGTTACCTTTGTTTTATTTTATAATGTAAGTAAGATTTATTGAAGGTAATGAATAATTTTACAAAAGAAACAAATGCGAGATATAAAATAAAAAATTCTGTTACAACTTACACATAGTTGTCCATAAATAACTCCAATCTATCACAAAAGATGACAAAGAATAGTTTTAATTAAATACTATTGCAACCTAATGAAAGATGTGAATTGAAGTGTTTTTTTTGTATGGTAGAAGGTGAATTATATAATAAAAAATAATTTTTTTAAAATCTCTATTTATTTATCTTAAAATTTAAATTAGAGATTTTTAATATAAAATTTATACTTTTAACTGTTGAAAGTTTCATGAGAGATAAGTATTTGAATTAAATTACTTGTCAAATTATGTTATTCAAAATTCATTTTTGATTATAGACATTTATTTAATTGATTGATTTGATCTGAGTTAAGTAATGAGTCAAAACTTAAGAATCTTAAAAGCATAAATTTTGGTTGCATGATAATAATGGAAGTGGGAGTGGGTGAGGTTGGTGTGGAAATTAATCTTCGTGTAAGGTTTTGATTATGGAACAAGTTGGAGGAGAATTCTAGAGCCATGTGAATGCGTCCACATTTTTGACATTTCGACATCAAAATTGTATGAGTTGGTTGAAATAGTGTTTACACCATAAAATACAAAAATTTAATATTATGTCACGTGTTAAATATTTTTAAATAAATAAAGGTGATTTAACCATATCAAATATTCAATTCTGAGTCTCATGACCGATTAAGCATTACATAGGAAAAAAAGAGATAAAAAAATAAGATTTTATTTTTTGGTTACCTATTTTAGTCACATTGGGTTTGTTTTAGTTGAAATTGAAGAGTTAGTTTCAATTATGAGTGTGGGTTAAGTGTGGGTTAGTTGATGATGAGACATATGGTAAACTTAGAAAGGAATTCTGATTTTGTCAACTATTGAGGTGTCTCATTTTTTTAAGATATTGCCCATAATTCTAGTAACTCTAGAAAAAAGGGGGTTGCTTGTGGGGAAGAGGAGAAGAAAAGGAAAATTTTTGTTCATTCAACACGCTGCTAGCCTTACATAAAACCTAACAAATTTTTAGATTTTCAATTTCTCTATGATTGTTCACTTTAGCTTATAAATTTTAGATTTCAACATAATTCCCAATAGATTAGGTTGCTTTTCATCATTCCAATAGTCAAATTAGTTTGTGTATTTGCTTCAACAGTTTCGTTTTATGTAATAAACATCAAGCTTTAAATTTCTACAATGTACTGTTTTTTTTTTTTTCTGATTCTAATTAATTTAATGTTTATGATAAATAGTGTTTCATCAAATGATTACTTATATAGCATTTACGATTCTTCTCAACTTCAACCATGTTAATTTAGTCCTTGTTCATATTTGCTTTAGTGTTATTTAGGGTTAGATTTTCAATTCTGCAGTAGTTTAATTTCTAAATTTGTCTGTAAATAGTAGTTTAATTCGACAATAAACATACTTAAATTAATTTTGGTACATCTGGTTCTTGAAAGTCTACTTTAATTTGCATGCCATTTAGTTTAATTAGGATTTATTAACTTTGATTCACTGTAGTGTTTAAATTTTTGGAGTTGTTCAGGACAAATTTAGTAACTCATTTTACTAGAAAGCATCCCTCTCTTTTGCAAATTGTCTTCAAGTGTATATTTAAATTTTAAACCGACGTTCTTCTCACCATTTGTGAGGTTGACTATGAGAAAAAAGAGAGTTGTTGGGAAAATCTTTCTTTTTTACTTTTTAGCAAAATTAGAGGCATACTTATATTCAGATTCTACATATGCAAAGTCACTTGAGAATTTTTTAAGAAACATATAAATTATCATAAAGGAACAGGGACTGTGAAGTTAGGACCCATTGTCCTCATTACCTCTAAATCCAGCATGCACCATTGGATAATATGCTGACATCAAGATATGCTCATGTGATAGTTTGAGTCGCCTAATGGATTAGGTGATGTTTTTTTCAAGTAAAGAAATAAATTTTAAATTCAAATCATAAAAGACGTAGGTGAGTGGGTAAAGAAATAAGCCAAAGTCGTTTCATTGCTATGCAAAATAAAAAATAAAATAAAGGAAAGAACCTAAGTTACAAAGTTACAAAATCTTTTAGGCCAAAGCCTCTATTTGCACCCTCAATTTATTTTTTTTTCATGGTCAACACCTTCCAGAATTTTTCCTCTCTATTCACACTTTTCACTTTTCAAAACCTGTGAAAAACCCAATATTTTATCAGATTGTCACGGTACCGTTAAAAAATACACTATGTGGCACATGTGGCGTTTTCTTTTTCGTCAGGTTCAGATGTGGATCTGCTTTTTATGATGTGGCTTCTTTTCTGCACACGTGGACGCCACGTGTGCAGTGAGAGCAACAAAAAAATTATAATATTACGAAACAGTAACATAAATGGCATTTTTTTCATTTTTTTTCTTTCTCCCCTCATCCTCGGCATCATCTTCACCATCCTCCATCTTCACCATCCTCCCTCCATCTCAATGGGTTCCTCACGGGGAACCCAGATTATGGGTTCCTACGCGGGGAACCTAGATCTGGGTTCCCAAACCCAGTTTATGGGTTCCTCGCGTGGAACTCAGTTCGGGTTCCTGTGCAGGGAACCCAATTTCTGGGTTCCTGCGAGGAACTCAGTTTTGGGTTCTTGGGTTCCGGGTGGGGAACCTAGTTTCTGGGTTCCGACCATTTTTTTTTTTTTCATTTTTTTATTTTGAATGTATTTATCTTAGTTTTCTATTTTATACAAAGCAATTTGGAATAAGTTTTCTATTGGAAAGGTGAGTTTTTTTGCTTGGAGATTGTTTATGAACATGTTGCCAATTTGAGTTTTTTTTTTTGTTTTTTGTGGAAAAGGAGTAGAAGATGCTTATCATGTTTTTGTGCAGTATTCGTTTACTTATAATTGTGTGGATGAAAATTTTAGTTTGGTAGGTATTTATGTGAAATTAGGTTTCATGAAGAACTCAGAACTTGGGTTTCGCAAGGAACCTAGGAGGATGAGGACGAGGATGGTGAAGATGATGCTGGGAAAGAAGAAAATGAAAAAATTAAAATTAATTATGATTTAATTATAACACATTATAAAAAAAATAAAAAAAGGTCCAACATTGGATTAATAAATGTGACATAAAGTCCTGGGTTCTTGGTTCCATGAGGAACCCAGGAGGATGAAAAGGAAGATGGTAAAGATGATACGGGAAAGAAGAAAATGAAGAAATTAAAATTAATTATGGTTTAATTATGCCATATCATCAAAAAAAAAAAGTCCACATTGGATTAATAAGATGACATAACGTTCATGTTACTGTTTGATGCCACGTATTACAATTTTTAACGGTTATTAACAGTGCCGTGACGGTGGGTTAAAATATTAGATTTTTCATGGGTTTTGAAAAGTTGAGAGTGTGAATAGGGAGGAAAAATTTTGGAAGATGTTGACTACAAAAAAAAATAAATGGAGTGTGCAAAAAAGGGCTTTGGCCAATTTTTTACTAATTGCTCAGGTTTGTACTTTATAAATTAATTTTTGCCGGGTGGTATTTTGAATTAGTTTTTGTGAATGAAGGCCCATTTACCTCAATGGGTTTCAAAAGTCCAATTATATGGAAGAGTGGGCCTCAAAAGCTCTAACTATAATTGAAACGAAATCCACCCGACCCATGAAAGAAATCAAACCCGAACCGGAACCCAACGTCTCCCAAACCCAACCCTTGAAGAGATACCGCCTCGCCTCCAAGTCCGCCGGCTGCCCCCTCCACTTGGTTACCGTTGCTGTCCACCTTAGGCGTAGATTTTCTCTGCTCTGGATAGTACTTTCTAAAAGCTTTGTTTTTTACTTGTCTCCCCATCTTGGGTCGTGTAAAGCTTTTCTGCTACTGGTTTTGCTTAGCTTGGTTCTGTTCTATGGAGGAGCTTGGTTCTGATTCTGATGTTCAAGGTAAAGTTTTGTACACAATAGCTGCATACCTTGAATATCCTCTTTTGTCTTTAAATTATTTTTCTGGGTGTTCTGCAACAACATGGTGGATTTAGATAGTTTTAAAGGTCTTATTTTTATCAGCCTGATACAGTCTGGTTAATTGTGATATAAGAATTTGGTTTGATTGATTCCTTGTGTTTTATTGCAGTGGGTGTAGGTGAGGATGATGGTGAGGCTGAGGAAGTTCACAAGGGAACTGCTTTTGAAGCTCCCCTTGAAGCTAAACTTAGAGAACTGTTGCAAAAGATTAACTCAATGGAAATTAAACTATGCTCTCATGCTGCAAAGGAGTTTATCAGGTTGCTTAAAGGTGATGCTGGAGGCGAATTGCTTAATCTGTATGTGCAGACTTCTCCTAAGTTGTCAGAGCTTCTGGATGCCTGGAAGCTACGACAAGGGAAACCTGGGATATCATACATATTTTCATTGATTTCAGCTATCCTGAGTCATACTGATGGGAAGTATGTGCAGCTTGGTAAGGAAAGAACTGGTACCAGTAGGCATCTTGACAAATTTGCCCGAGGTGTTGTTGATGAAAAGTTGGATGACGTTTATAAAGAGTTGAATAGTAAAGAAGGGAAGCGCCAAAATGCTGCATTATTGTTGCTGGCTTCGGTTGTTAGGCGTGGTTCAAGCTTAGCCTCTGATGTTGCAAAGAAATTTAATTTCAAACTCCAGGGATTCTGTCAGCTTGCTGATTTTAAAAAGAAGCAGAATGAAAAGAAAAAACATTCGTCAAGAAAGTCCTTTGTGGGGTTTGCCATGTCATTTTTGGAGGTGGGGAAGCCAGGATTGATTAGGTGGATCTTGCAACAGAAGGAAATGTTCTCTGGTGTGCTTCGAGGGCTTGGAAATGATGATGATGAAACTATTACGTATATTCTAACCACATTGCGTGATAGGGTTCTCACAGAAGAGTCATTGGTGTCCCCAGGTCTTCGTAGTGTTCTTTTTGGTAGTGCTACTTTGGAGCAGCTGGTAAACATTTGTGCAAAGGAAGATAGTGCATCCACTTCAGACTTGGCTTACAGTGTTCTAGTTATGGTATGTACTGATCCTTGTAATGGATTGATGCCTGATCTGGGGAGGTACCCTAACCCATTAAAAGGTAATCCGAAGAGATTACTGGGTGTAATGAAGAAGCTAAAAGCAACAGAAATTGGATATCACAAAGACTTGCTTTTGGCCATTCTTAGGGGCCGTCCATCCTTGACTGCAGCATATCTTAATGAGTTTCCGTACAACCTTGAAGATCATGCATCACCTAATTGGTCAGTGCAATTTGTGTTTGATATTATCTTCTTTCTAGTTATTTGTTATATTTATACACGAATGGTAACTGAAGTAGCTGCAGGTTTTCTTCTGTTTCTCTGGCAGCAAATTTGGTTTCCTCGGTGGGTGTGGGTCATCCATTCAGTTTCCTTGATTCTAAGATTCATGACCCTCCTTCCTTTGATAGTGAAGATGTGCAGAGTATCATGAGCTGCATATGCCCTCGTCCATTTAGCCGCTCTATGATCAATAAGGGGTTACTTCACTCTGATTTTCTTGTGAAGCATGGAACATTGCGGCTTCTTTGGGAAGTATTGAAGTTGTTGGATTCCTTCATTGGTTCTTTGAGTCAGAACTCTCCTTCAGGCAATCAGATGCAGAAAGGCTGGACATCCCTTCATCAAGAAATTCAGAATGAGGTCCGCATAATGCTTCCTGATGCCCAAGTTTTATTGACACTACTTTCTTCACTTGGTAGCAACACTAAAACTCATGATTCATGTTTAAAGAGAAAAGTGGATTTGGAAAATTTTTCAGAACAAATCAGCAAAAATTCTAAGAAAATGAAAACAGTTATTCCAAAAGAAGATACGGACATTATTGTATGTGGGATAAGTTCTGCTCCTGACATCACTTTGCCAGGAGACCTAACAGCTGCAGACACAGGAGTGATGGATGAGTCAGATAGAGAAAAGGAATTCTTGAATGCTATTTCAGAAATTTGGGATTCGGACCTGTGCTCCAACCCATTCACCACACTAAATGATGCAGATATGTATTTATATTCGAGGCTTCTTGATGCTCTCAAAATGTATCTTGTAAGTTTCATTTTTGCTGATTCTATTTTATTAGATCTATAACGAGGAGCTATATGCTTAAGAATAAAAAATTAGCTCTAATGGAGGATAAATTATTCCTCTGGATGCCATTTGATTTAAAAAAGGTTGATAGAATTCCTGAAACTGTAACGTCTTTTTCCTTTTGGTGTTTTCTTTGTGCTCTACAAGAAGATCATGATAGTTTTAACCACACCAAAACCCTCAATATCCTATACCTCAATTATTGTCTTATTTTTCTCTAAATCTGAACGTGGAATAGCTAATAGATTCACAGTTTATAAAACTTGTGTGGCTATGTCACTTGTCAAAGAACCATGGTCTATAGTCTACATATGAAATTTGCTTCAGATGGAAAAGTACACTTAAACTTAGATTAAAATTCAGACAGATAAGTTATTGTTTCATTTAAACAATTTGAAATCTAGTTTCTAAGTGGTATAACCTTAAAATTTTAACTATAATTTATAGCAATGACCATTTATGTTCTTCTATCCTTGTTATTTTATATGGCAGCTCTGTATGTCATATTGAAGAATCATTGTTGAGTTTTAAATAAGATCTTATGATTTTCTTTTTCTTTTTTGAACTTTGAACATCAATTACAAATTCTTAACAGTGATCCTCTTAATATAGTTTCTGCTTTTACCTTGTGCAGCGGGCAATGCCGACTATATTAGAGGGATCCTTTGATTTCTTCATGAATCTTCTGAGCAATCCATTAGCATTAACCAGAGATCTGCAGCTTTCACTTCTATCTTTGCTAACTGAATACATTGGATGGTCGTCGAGGAGTGATAATCCCATTAAAACCCCACCATTCATGTACAAGCATTTGCAGCCATTTATTCATTTGTTGATATTTTCTCCAAATAGTGACATAATGGATCAAGCATATAATCTTGCGGGAGCAGCTATGTTAAGTACTGGTGCGTTTGACAGAAACCCATATGAAATTGATGCATGGTTTTTGTTTTTGCCGGGTTATGGAAGAAATAAATTGTCTCTCGAGGACAAAGAGTTAGAAGTGCTACAGAGCTTGTCTCCAGTTGTTATCTCATTCCTATGTGATGCCATATCTACCGTTGGGAATAATTTGTTCAAGTATTGGGATATTGTCAGAAACTATATCTGCGGTTTGAAAGATTTCAAAGGTAATGGGTAATTCATATGATTTCTTTGTATCAGATTCTGTTATCATATCTATACATTCTTTTAGCAATTGAATGGTTACTTATAGAGAATAATGTTAGATATTCTTACTTCTTACCCATTTGCTCAATTCAAATTTCATGTTTGCATTCACTTATGCTGTTCCATCTTCCATGTTGTAATTGCTATGTTGAAATATCAAATGGTCTAGCTTTCTAAAATAAGCATGGAAGAGATTTTGGTCTTTGGTTAAAGGTTCCTTTTGTTCCCAAATGAAATTCTTGGTATTCACATCAAGAATGACTCATCTTTTTCCTGCAGGTTTATCACTTGATTTCAGCCCTCTTGTTATATGTGTCCTGCAGAAGTGTCTAAGGGTGCTGAATTCTGAATCTGGAACCTTTTCATTATTTGACAAGTCAATGATTTCATTGTATGTTTGCAATACATTAAAGTTTCTCTTACAAACTCAGGTACACACTATGTTTTACAGTCTTAGCTTATGCTTCATACTTGTAAGCTGTGTGTCTGGCAGGTAACAATAAAACTGAATTCTGACAGGTAGATGCAAGATTATTATCAGCATTGATTGAGTCAATTCTGTCTGAAGGACTTGGCAGTCGTTCTGTAGTTTCTGATTCTGGGCATTTCTTATGTGAGTGGAGGCCTTTGAACAACTTCTTGTTGTTTTCACAAAGTGTTTTGCGTCAACAAACATGTTGCCTTCTTCCTGTTGATGTAAAAGCAATGCCTGCTGACGGTTCTTTTTCAAATATGCTTGGTGAAGTGGAAAATTTTCAAAGGAATGAGCATGAGGGTGAACTAACTGGAGTAGCTAAAGCCTTTTATTCTGCAATGTCATGTGCAAGACCTGATGAGGTATTAAATAATTTTCCCTTGGCAATTGCAATTTCTCAGAAACTTCTTGGAGCTATTGGCTTGCCGTTGTCTTCAATAATATTTAGTGAGCAAAATTTTATGGCTTGTCTTTCTATTTTATGGCCCGAAGTCTTCTTACCTGGTCTAGAAATGGCTTCATCTATGATCTGTCATGAGCCAAATGAGGATAATGTCCACGAAATTCTTCTTAACCATTCTTTATTTGCTGATGAAATGATCTGTAACATTGATCCTGACAAGATACAGACTGCTGCTGCCTCATTTAGTTTGTTCTTGAAGGAGACACCCTTCCACAAGCTGTTTCCTGCAATTATAAACGTTGATATCCTTCATCTATTGCACTCCTCCAAACTACAGGATTTCCTTTTGGCCAAACTTTCAGACAGGAGGAAAAGTTCTCTTATTTCCCTTCTGCAGAATCTGTCTTTTGTGCTCTTTTGGTTTTATCAGCTACGATTATTATATAAAAGCAAATCATTAGCCGAACTTGAAGATCTCTCTCAAATTTGCTTGGTTCTTGTAAAACAAATACTTTCTGAACTGTTGGCTTTAAAGCCTAAAATTGAATGTTCAGTGACTGTTGGGGTTCCTTTACCAGCAGAAACCATAGGAAAAGTGGCAGAAACTATCTTCTGTCATCCAGCAGTGATGTCAGTGCTCTCCTGCCCTTTGAATTCTAATGAGAAATTGACAACAACAAGTTTTGAAGATAATCTGGAGACTTTTCTGAGTTTATCTAGGCAGAGAGTTCATAAACTAGATCTCCATGTTCTGGACATGTTGGCTGCAACTTTGAACTACCTGCTGTCTCAATCAAGTAGCAAGTACTTAGCACTTGAAGATGGTGCAACAAACATGGCACTGGCAAAGTCATTCAGTGCTCTGGCACAAAGGATATTTCTAGAACTAAGGAACAAGTTTGATCTTTGCATTGCTAGTGAGGATTTTCTCCCCCTCCTGCCAGCATTTTATACCATACATGCTTTGATTCAGTTTATATCCCCCTTTGAGCTTCTTGAGGTAGTGCATTGGATTTTTGGTAGAGTCAAGTTGAATGAATTGGATGTCAAGCAATCTAGCATGGTTACTGCTCTATCTATTGCATTTTGCATGGCTGATGGTGCTTTTGAAATGCTGTCGACTTATCTCTGGCAACCTGTGGCAGAGAAAGCATTTTATGATTTGTTATGGGAAATGACAGAGAAAACTTTTAATGTGGACCTTATTGAGGACATATGTGTTCAACTCTGCAAATTTGCCTGTGATTTCAAATTGCATTTTGCTGATATTTGTCTGCTGAATGCTCTTAATGCTCTGAAAGGACAAAAAGGTTTTCATCTTTCTGATCATCTATCAAGCATTGTAATTTCAAGGATTTTAATGAGCATTCCCATTCAAATGGTTTCTCACTGCATTTGTCAGACCAACATGACAAAAGCCAAATTATTGCTTGTTCTTATCGAACTCAGTCCCTTGCATATGTCAGTCTTTGGACAAGTATTTGCATGTATTTCAAATGGAAGGTCTATTCCTCTGGGAAGTTTGATGGAAGATATCACTGGCATTTCTTTTTCGGATGAGGACTTCATGATGCTTCTTCCTGCTGCTTTATCATATGTAAATGCTACTTTTTTGAAATTTGGAAAGCACCATTACAAGCACTTTGACAGCATAGCTTCTTTTTACTCAAGAATGCTATTGAATGGTTTCCTTCATTGGAAGAGCTTTGTGTCTGGATATTTATTTCAAGAGGAATATGGGAAGTTCTTCCCCTCATCTGCTGAAGAACTTTTCAATCTTATTGAAGGAAGTCTGCTTGGAAAAGCAATTTGTGTGTTGCGATATCACTTTTCCTTAAATGGAGACTCATTCAAAATGAAAGAACGACTACAGCTTTTTAATTCCATATTTCCAAGTTCAGCTGCACATGAAGAGCTGCTTGACTGTGATCTTAATAAGATGGATTTTTGCTCAGTAAACCAGTCATTGAACCTAATTAATAAAGTTGTTGCCAAAATATCATTCTGTAGGATGTTGTTGTTTGCAGAAGATGATAAGTCTCGGTCTTTTTCAAAAGAAGCAGATGAAGGCTTGAATACTTTCTCTGTAAAAACGGGGTCTAATAAAGGGAACTCATCAAGAATGCGGTTTATGAACATTTTAGTTGGTACTTGGCAGTGGATGGTTAAGAAATTATCTTCAGATTGGGATAGCTCTATATATAAAACTGGAAAGGGTGAGGATTGTTTGTGGTTGTGCAAATGTCTGGAGGTTTTCATCCTGAGAAGTATTTATGAACTGACTATGAAGATGCGCAGTCATCTCGTCCAGTTGCAATCTATTCCATTCCTTGAACAATTGATGAGATCTGCTCTCCTCTATAGGTTTGAAGATCCCACAACAGTGAGAATGCTAAGGCATATCCTAGCTTTGCTTTTCGAAGGGAAGTTTTCACACATTCTGTTTCTTCAATTGTTGCTTGCCCACTCTCAGTTTGCGCCTTTAATTTGCTCTATCTCTAAGTCATATAGCTCAGAGGCTGGTTCATTTTTCAAGTCTATGTCTAGCATTCTGAGATTTCTTGTTATGCCTCATCTTACTTCAGATGCAAATGATGGAAAAGATGGTAAGGAAGCAGCTGAAACTTATGCAAAGCAGTTGGAAATTGTTAAGTTACTCAGAACACTTTTCAAATCCAGGTCTCTGAATTCTGATGTCAATTCTAAAGATGCTATTGGCATAAATCTTAGAGAGTTGCATTCATTGCTTTTGTTTTCTTATGGTGCAACTTTGAGTGAGATTGACATAGAGATGTCCAATCTGATGAATAAGATTGAGTTAATTGATGAATTCGAATGTGAAAAAACTGCTGAATTAGATTACTTGTGGGGAAGTGCTGCTCTAAAGGTAAGGAAAGAACGTGCTCTGGAGCAGGATACACCTGATTGTGTCATGACAGATAGTGAGGCAGTTGAAGAGCATCGAAGAATTCAGTTCAGGGAGAACCTTCAAGTGGACCCCAAAGTATGTGCAATGACTGTCCTTTATTTTCCCTATGAGAGAACTTCTACTGGGGATGGTGATCCTCTATCATTAAATGAACTTCAAACAGATGACTTTAAGGACTTCAGCAAGGTATGCCTTTAATTACTTTAATCCATCACTTGGTGTTTTATGAGCTCAAGCTTGAGCGTTCTAGTTGTTGTACATTAGGGTTCTGCTCTGACTCTCCAACTTTTTATTTAAACTTTTATGCAGCCACGTTTTGCTGATGCTGGAAATGTACAGAGATATGATCCAATTTTCATGCTACGCTTCTCAATTCACTGTTTGTCATCCGGCTATATTGAGCCTGCAGAGTTTGCTGGTTTAGGCTTGCTTGCGATAGCATTTGTTAGCATGTCTTCTCCAGATCTTGTGATGAGAAAATTAGGTTATGAAACTCTTGGAAGATTCAAGAGTAACTTAGAGGTAAGCTTTGTGTTGACATTAGTACTTAAACTCCCTTTAATGTTTAGGTTCCATCCAATTGGCTCTAGATTAACTGGTCCAACTTTAATACGAGGCCATAATATACCCCAAAAGAAACTCATAAGAGACAACAGCACTACATAACACACTCTGACATGGAAGTGAATAGAACTACTGAACCAAAAAACATTAGTGTGTTGATCATGAATATGTGATGATAAACACAAACACAAAAAGAGACAACAACAAACTATTCTCTGAATGACAAAGCATCTAGCTAAAACTGTTTGTCTATGGATGGGCATGTCTAAATTGAATAAAACCAATGTGGAATAAGATCACATAATAGTTAGTTTATCTCTGAACTGCATGCTTGAAGGGGAAATGGTTCATCCCTTTCCATCCAATGGGAATGCATGAACTCCACAAAAAATTTTATGATTTTCTGTGTGGATTATTTCCTTCTGGAATTGAAGTCCCTCTGGGTCTGGTACTCTAATGATGAAAAAGCATGCTAAGTACCACTGCAATGGTGAGTTGCTAAACATTTATGCATTTATGATATTTGGTCTCTGTATTGCCTTTTAATGATACTGGTGAAGTTTCCTGACTTTGTCAAGTGCTTATTGATGTTGTTGAAAGTTCAAACTCTTGATTTCAGAAGTATCAAAAGAAAAAGGATTTAATGCATCTTCGCCTACTGTTGACATACATGCAAAACGGGATTGAAGAGCCATGGCAAAAGATCCCTTCAGTTGTAGCTCTCTTTGCTGCAGAGGCATCTCTTATTTTGTTGGATCCTTTGCATGATCATTACACAGTCTTAAGTAAGCTTTTGACTCACTCTTCAAGGGTAAATATGAAGGTAATTAGCCTTCCAACTTTCTTTTTGTATGCTTATTTTGTGTTCTTACTGTGAAAAACTCTTATTTCATTATTTCTGTTTGCAGCAAATACCCTTTTTCAAAGAGTTTTTCCATAGTAGTTCCATTAACTTCAGAAAGGAGAGGCTGTGGATTCTCCGCTTAGCATATGTGGGGCTTAATTTGGATGATGATGCTCAGATATACATAAAAAATTCCATTATTGAGACGCTTATGAGTTTTTACACTTCTTCTTATTCTGATAACGAATTGAAGGAACTAATTCTTGAGGTAATTGTGAGTTTATTGTGGTTATTTTTCATTTCTATTCTACATTATCAAAATTTGAGTTGACCGATACCCAAAAAAATGAGGATTAAAATTTGAATTTGCTGTTAGGCTCTTGAAGAGTTTGGAAAATGAACCTCTTCTCTAAAGTTATGTTTTACTCATAATGGATTGTTACATTCAGTTTTACCACATTCTTTTTTTTAATGTGATTATTATATACTGTTGAGGCAAAATCTAGACTTCCGTGGAAGGAGTTAGCTTGTTTGGATTCTATCTCTATTGTAGGATGGTTAAATATGAGACAAACTTAGTTGTTAGCTTGGTCAAATGGTTTCAAGGATGATATTAAGTCTTCTGTTTTCATCACGTAACTTATCTCTGTGTGTTCATTCACTGTGAATTCTGTGTTGAGTTGAGCATGTAACACATCTTATGTGTGAACTATTTGATTTAATTTCTATTTTATTTATTTACTTATTTATGAGCTCACTTAAAAGTTAGAACTAAGGTACTGTATTATTTTGCCTTGCAGGTAGTGAAGAAATCTGTTAAATTGCCGAAAATGGCTAATTATCTAGTCGAACATTGTGGTCTCTTTTCATGGTTATCATCTATTCTCTCTGTCTATAGCAAGGTGCTGTTTGAAGATGAAAAGAAGTTTTTCTTAGCACGGTTGACTGTAGTTGTTGAGGTAGACATCCATTTCCACTTTATTTTAAAATTTATATAGGTGCTAAACAGTTTTTCCTGAATCCTTCTAATTTTTTTGGTTTTTTTTTTTTTTAATAGTATGTTTTTGGGTCTCTGAAATTCAGATGAAATTGAACTTAAAATCAGTTTTTAAGTGTGTTTTGCATCTGTGGCGTGGGGTCAAGTCTGAAAGATCTTTACTAAGTGTCCATCCAAACCTGCAAAAGATGTGGGGTTGGTCACCCTACTAACCCTTGCCATTTCTCAATTTTCTCTAAATGTTACCTGCACCACATGGGTGGATAGACCACTTCCCTGCTATTCTAACAAGTAGGATTTTGGATTTTCATATAAAACATGGCTAAAAAAAATAAATAAATAAAAAATAACCAGGCATCAACTAAACACTACCATGTATTTGTTTGGGATGCTGCTAGTATTTTATTTTATTTTTTCGTTTCTGGGTTTGTAATGTTTCAAGGTTGTCTGGGTGGTTTTAACTGATTTTACCATCATCTTTTGGTTCAGTTTCGGGAGTATTCACATTTCTTAGAGGGGTGGAATGGTATACTTGTTCAAAAAATAATAGCTACATTCCATATTCATTCTAAAGGAAAATTGTTTTAATGCAGGCCATCTTACTTTTGGATGATTCATGTATAAATAATATCCTTATTTTATTAGTTTTCACGGTAATTGGAGCTTCTTTATATAACTAGTGCTTTTGTATGTTTTCAATTAGGTTGTCAGTGTTGTTATTTCATTGAGAAGCATTACTGAATGGTTGCAAAGATTTGCCCTTGAGCAGCTGATGGAACTTTCATGTCATCTGTATAAGCTCTTACAGAGGATGAACTTAGCAAATGACAGTGTTGCTTTGGTTAATCCAATTCTTGAGATACTGTCATCAACATTAACACTATCACAGAAAAGGGAAATGTGCCAACCTCATTTTACTTTGGCACTTGAAGGTTTAATTCTAATTTATCAGGCTGTTAATGTGCATAATACTGCCAAATTTATTGCAAATGCAGTGCTTGGGCTTAAAGCTATTCTTATGAGCATGGCTCCAGTTGGCATCTTTCACATGGTTAATCTCTCTCTCTCTCTCTCTCTCTCTCCACACACACACCACACCAGATAGGTCAATAGAAGCATAAAAATTTGATTCTAAATTAAAGAAAGCTAGGAAGTAAGAATGCTAGCAGAAAACAACGGCTATTTATCATGTGAAATCTGTCTTTACCTGTTCTCTTGACTAAATAAGGTGTCTCCTCATGACGTTTGTTGCAGAGCCAAGAAAAGGTCTCAAGTTTTCTTTCGTGGGCAATTTCTACTGCACTAGTGTCAGAGCCTAAAACAATGCTTCAATGCAACTTAGATGATACACTTCATCAAGAGTCTTTGACATCAAAGCTTTTACACTGGCTTGTTGCTTTGGTAATTCATGGGAAGCTTTCTTGGAAACTCAATGATTTTAATGCCAAGTTTTCAGAGGGATCTAAGTCAAGAACTTTGGAGTCGCTGTTGGAATGTGTTGAAAAAAGAAGTGAAGAAATCAACAAATTTGATTGTGGTGAGATATTAGCTGCCAATATCTATCATCTCCATCAATATCTTGGGGTAAATTGCAGATTTCTTCCATCAGTTGTATCTGCACTTTGTCTCCTGCTATTTTCTGATGACTCAAATTTTGCAGGTATGTTGCTTTAATTACTTAAATAACTTCTCTGTTTGCATTGTGGTTTGCTCTTGGGATTATGGATCGTTTGGGTTTGATACCTGAGAACAGTTTATTGACTTGGTCATGTGATCTTATAATTAGAAAGGCAATTGAGGCAATGTTTTCTGAAAATTTTTCCCAGCTTCAGGGCTCTGATATCATTTTGGTTTATGATCCACATGCTTGGAATTTTGACCGTACTGAACTTTGCATTTATTTAACTGTTCATGCTATATTTTTTCTTCTTTTCTAAAATTTAATTTAAAATTTTCCTTCTGGAGAATGTCATTTCAATTTTGATGGACAAAAATGCATTTTTTTCTCCCTAAATTTTGACCCTTTGGTTTTATGCTGAATTAGGATCAGACTTTGTGCTTTCTCCTAGGACTTCAATCATTTCACTATGCTCAAAGATATCTTGCCCTCCTGAAGTTGATCCTGCTTGGAGATGGTAATTACAGCTCCTGTTTCTAACTCTGCTGATTCCCCTTCAATTTTGCTATTGATTAATTACTTTACATTAGTTAGGGCCTTTCTCGTAGAATATGCAAATTAGCACAGCATCACTAAATATAGAAATATTCTCAAAGGAGCAAATGTTTTCTGCAAATGGGGTTAATTGTAGGATTAGTGGTATGATCCTTAACATAATCTCACTGGGATGTTTGAGGTCTACTAAATCTTGTTTTGGCTCTGTGAAGCCTGAAAATTTGGCTTGTTAGGGAATCCTTGAGGACTATGCTGAATGTATTGCTAGTAAATTTTCTTTTGTTTGTTCTATGTGCCTTTAGACTGCACAAACCTAAGATTCTCACTGGGTTCTTTATTGCAGGTCATTTTTTGAGCCATGGAGAGATCATTCATCCAAACTGACCGATTTGCAGAAGATAGATGAAATACATGCTTGCCAAACTCTATTGGCAATGATCCCAAATGTGCTTGGTAAGAAACCAGTAGATTTACAGGTGTTATCCCATCAAGATGTATATAAATGGGAAAGAAGTATTGTAGAGACTAAATGATGTTCAAGCAACCTCAATTCATCTTGTATGCTATATCAGTACATCATTGTTTTTCAATTTAATGATATGAAATATTCTGCAACAAAAGGAAGATTGTTCCTTCTCATGCATGTTCAAAATAAAAAAATAAAAAAAAAGGAAGATTGTTCCATTTGATCTCTAGAGAGGCCAGAAGGGCCTTGCATTCACCATCATTACAGCCAAACTACTGAACCAGCCGATTTCACAGTCCTGCAACATGAACCCTTCGACACATTATGCTTTGTTACACTTATATCAAGTCTCAATACAGAAGCACAGCATCAATACATAATAAAATCGTTACAAACCTGGACAAGTGTAAGATTCAATGCCTCTTGGGATTTGGGTTTTTGATGGGATGTCCAGACTCTTGCTCTCTGAAAGAACATGTGAACCCTCCTGCGGTGCGTTTGGCAATGGGTGATGTGGCAGAGGGTTAGTGAATGAGCCATTATCTTTGTTTATTTCGAATTAACGCAGGAGCAAAACCATCATCTCAGTCGACTTGTGATTATAGAACGAGATTGGTAGGGAAATCCGTCGGCTAAAATTGGCTCTGATCTTGTTTTCAAAATATCAATGCCATCAATTGTTTGTATAGAGATCAAAATGGATATTAGCCATCGGGCCGGAATCAAGATGAGAGTAATTAAATCTCAAGGATGAAGTAGCATAACCGCAGAGATATTATCAAAGTCTGCTTTGATGTCAAGAAAAATAGTACATTGCCTGGAACAAAAACTGAAATTCCATGGGAGAAATTCTTTGTACTATATCTAAAAAAAAATTAAACAGTCAAGAAGCTGCAAAATTTACCCAAAAATTTAAAATAACAAGTAAAGGTTCAACTAAAACTGGAGGCAACATGCAACGAAAAACAAGTCGAAGATTTATGCTTTAATGCTACTTTCAATCTTCATCTTCATCTTCCTCATCCTCATCCTCAACATCAGCAGCTGAGTTCAGGGTACGCAATCGTTCAATCAATTTAGCCTTTCTCTCCTCATAAGTGAGTTTCTTCAAGTTGTACCTGTTTGGACAATGCAAACAAAGTCTAACATTTGTTATCCATAGATTGGCTAAAAATTAACACTACAAATCATTGAACAAGAATGATGCACAACAGTGTTAACATGTTAATCAGGAGAACCAAGCATCAATTGGTCTTAGGCCATACCTTTTGTGCTCCCTTGGAGCCTCCTTCTCAGACTTCTTAGCAGTTGGGTCAGCACGGATGGCAGCATGCACTTTTTTGTACATTGCCTCAATGTCATCAGCCTCGATTTCCCTTTTGATATACTCACTGAAGTGAGACTGATACTTCTCCGGCTCATCTTCCATCAAAGTCTGGAAAAATCTTACATAAACAAGTTGCAAGAAAGTAGAGAGATATCGGTGCAAATGAAATAAAGACAACAAGCTCATATCCTTGAGAAATAAAATCCAGACAATAGATTTGCATCCTTACCCTCATATATGCAGCCACATGACCACCATAGATGTACTTGTGGTGAACCTCAGCATCAAGCTGCTTGCTTTCTTTCCCAAAGCCAGCAAACCTCTTGTCACTGTGAGGAATATCCAATCCACCATCCAAAGCACCCTATGATCACCAAAAATGAAGCATGCTCTAAACTAAAACTTTTACTAACAACAGTTCAAACTAGCACTTGAGGTAAAGCATGAAAAAAATTATGACTGCATTTTAAAATGAATACCTTAAGAGCACCAAAAACCCTGTTTCCAGTAGTTGTCTTGATCAGCCCAACATCAAGGAGTGCACGGAATGGCCTCCTATTTTCAGTTGGCTCAACTGAGAAATCCTCCCCAGTAGCCTGCCATCACAAACCCTTATATTAGAAAGATAATTCAGTGAAAATAACAAAATTTTTTTTTTCAACTTAATGTTAGAGCTGGATATGATTCATATTCATTACCTCCACGTTGCCCTGATACTCATCATCCATCTCAAGCATTTTCAGAACACGACGAGCCAACAGCAACCCAGTACAATAAGCTAACCACAATTCCATAAAAAAAAAAAAAAAATAAGTAAAAATGAAATTACATGAGAAATAAGCATCCAAAACAAGAACGTCACATCCCAACTTAACATACCGGCAGCATAGTTTGTAAGACCCACTTCAAGTCCATAACAAGGCAACTCACGGGCATAAGCAGCAGCAAGCACCATATCACCAGCAATATTAGCAGATACTATTTGTGCAATAATATCCTTGTTGGTAAATCTGACAACAAAACGGTATTTTGGAGTGTTGTATTTGTTTTTGTCTTGATTAATTAGGCGAATTCTAGCCCGGTAGTCAGTCTTCCCCGCTGCAGAAAAAATTCACGAAATAATGTTATCAAAACGAGCACAAGAACCTGGAATAAGGATCCACACATAACAAAACACAGATACACTACCTCTCCTTCTCTTGAACTTGACCTGAAACCGTTTGAAATAGGCCTTGGATTTCTGAGCCTTAACAAAGGCCTAAATAAAAAAGAATACATTCATCTCAGAATCTATAAATCAAGAACAATCTAATTCACATATCATATTTCATGAAAAAAAATCACAACAGCATTAACACAACGAAGAACCACAGTTAAGAAAACTAACTACTAAAGAAGAAATAAAAATTGCATCACATATTGAAAAGGAAGCATTTTTACAGTTTCTCCACAAAAAAATGACCAACCCAAGATGCCAATTCTCACAAAGAAACCTATTACAAGCACACACTGAATAAAACTTGATTCACAATTAATTAACAGCTAAATCTAGAATACATGCTACTCTCATATTAACCTTATACATGATGAGCAGATCCATTTAGCACAATTATGGACTACTCAAGAACACCTCAGATTCAAAGATTCAGAATATTAGCTTCACTAAAACGCCGTAAGAGAATGAGAAAAGCAAGGAGAGAACAAATATAACATCAAGAAAACACGAAGTGTACATTCCATTAACACATTTTATCAGAGAAGCTGCATGTGGAGTAAGGGCTGCGACACTCACCATGGCTGAAGCTCGATCTGTGAGAGGCGGGAGGGGAGGAGGGAAGAGACGGAGGCTGTGGAGATAAGAAAAGAAGGAAGATATAAAGGGGCTTAGGATGATATAAAACCCTAGCTCGCGATCGTAGCAGAGAATGATCGACGGCTGAGATTCGTCTTCGCTACGGCTTTTGCACAAAGTGTAAATGGGTCTGTTAATGTTTTATTCTTTTGAGCCCATGGGCTGCTCTTGCGTAGGCCTGAATATTTCGAACTCGTCTCATTTTTCAGTCCAGTTCAACCTTGTTGGGCTCCTAATGAACAAATCCAGTTCAACACACCAATGGACATTTTTAAAAGTAACTTTTAGTTACATTTTTGCTCAGGCCAGGCCTTTTAGCAGTTGGTGAAACTGCAGCCCATGGACTTTGCCTGTGCCATGGTTCAAGAACTAAAAAATATATATATATTAAGTTCTGTTTAATGTAATGTAATTTTTATAAATTTTGTAATTTTAAAATAAAATTATTTATCTTTATATATTTTTTAAATTATTAAAGAAATAAAAATAAAAATAACTTTAATACTATTAAATAAATTT